TTCTTGAAGAGCGTCTCTTGGAGATCGAAATTGAGCCCGGGATGAGAGATGGTCAGATTTATCCGTTTGTCTCCGAGGGGGAGCCACATGTTGATGGCGAGCCCGGAGATCTTAAATTCCGGATTCGCCAAAAAAAGTGATTCCTTTATTTCTGCTTATTATGCACAGACATCTAATATTTCACCGAAGGGGCGATGATCTTCATACAAATATTTCTATATCGATTGTCGACGCACTCAATGGCTTTTCAATGGAAGTTTCTCATTTAGACGGACACAAGGTATTTGTCTCATGCATCAGATTGGATGTTTATTCATTATCAGCAATTTATATTAAATTAATTTTATATAAGCATTAATTCCGGGTTGGGTATTTATAGCTTTAAAAAAATTGCACACGAGAACCCAATCTGTGTTGCACCTTAGCCACGCACGTTTTAATTTCAATTTCCTCTTACAGGTGAAGATACGGCGTGATGTAGTCACGTGGCCTGGTGCGATTTTAACTGTCCCCGGAGAAGGGATGCCAAATTACGAAAATAACAAAGTCCATGGACGCCTTGTGATTGTATTTGACGTTGACTTTCCCAAAAATTATGTCTTTACTGAGGAACAGAAGAGCAAAGTTAGGGACATATTTTCAGATGCAAAGGGTTATTTTAAAGACGGAGCCAAAGTATATAATGGCATCGATGCTGTTCCTAGCTCTCAAGGTCGGACAGTTGTTATCTTGTGATGCGTTATATTTTTTAGTATTTTACGCCTTCATCATTTCAAATCCTGTGATCTTTCAACCTGCCTCGTGTACATTTTCTGACGCATCTTATAAAAAAATTTTCTTTGTTATTTTACTAAAAGCGTATTCATCTTTATTCGGTCTTACACTCGCTCCTTTAATCATACTCGAGATCTCGCTCATTCATTGTTCATATAAAAAATTTAACTTCGACTACAATTCTCTTACTTTTAAGGGGCGGTGCATTGCTTAGCAATCTCATTTGGGCGTAACCAATCCACTCATATTTATTATTATTAGGCTTAAGGTCCATAGAAGTTGTTTCACCTTGTTTTCGCAACTCGGTCATATTGGCAGGAAGACTAAGATGAACGCACCTAGTCCGGAGTCTATTGTATGCATAATCATTTCCAGAGTAGGACCATGGACGTAGTACATTCCCAGACATTTCGCCGGCATCGCCATTCGTAGCACCATATTACAACTCGTCAGAGACAAGACCACACTATTCTGGTCTTCATACCTTCGATTAAGGTCCATAAGTTTATCATAAATAAGATATGTATTAATAAATCCTGTAAGGAGATTAAGGACTGATAGTTGTATTTTCCCGCAATGGAAACTGGACCCCATAATGATCTTGTCTCATGAGCAAGAAAAACCTCTACCTAGGTCTTAGTAGTGCCCCGATGTATCACAGTATATGCTTTTATTGCGTAAGCACTAAGCCACAACCACTAATATCGGCGGGAGAGTACAGGCTAGGCCTTGTATATTAGATCCATGAGGGTTACCAATGTGTAATCGTGTTCGTCATTGAAATCAATTACATTGCCTGTATTTATAGTGAATATGTTATTAATGTTAG